CTCAAATAGAGTATTTGCTCTATCGTTCTTGTCTTGTAGCTTTCGTCAAAGATCTCTGTAGACGACTTCTTGAGCTACAATGCTTCGGTATCGAATATTTATATCGTTTGCGAAACGCCTCCGATTCTCGAAACTGACTAAAGCAGATGTACGAACTTTGTCTCGATTGGTTTCCACAAATTAAAAACGTAAATTAATATTGATAATTCTACACAATCTGTTGGTGTCTTAAACATAATCTCGAAACAGATCCCTTTTTGATTGATTTTGTTACATCGCAGCAAGTATAGCTTCACCAGTATTTACTAAAACAGCCGTCTTTCTGAAATTAGCATACGAAGTACATTTCCCAATAAATATGCATTCGAAATTCTGGAACGGAAAAGTTTGCTGAGCAAAAAAAACAAATACAAACTAGGCAGTAGACAAACGACTTCTCATAAATCTGTAAATCCCCAGAAATAATTGGAAGTTTGAAGTAGTGTAAACAACTCAAACTTCATAATTTAATTGTGTTCCTCATAGTTCATAAACTCTAATCCTTTATTTTATAGATTAATTTTTTAAAATATGCTACAAGTACCTCTTCGTATGTGGAAACTTACGTCAAAATTTTATAATTTTGAAGGAAGTGACGTAGCACTACGTCAACACACTGCGTCGGTTTATTGGACAACATAAAAGGGAAATATAATATTAAAATACGAACATTTCGCATTATAAAGGAAACAATAGAGAATTTTAGTTTAACGCATTCTAAGTATGTGACAAAAAAGTCCTAGGTCTCGACGTATAAGGACTGATTAAACACTGATTTAGTTATGAATGTAGACAGTATGAAAGCTTTTGCTTTGGAAACGGTAGTAAGAATGTTTAATTTCAACTTAATTTAAATGATTATGGATTTTAGATATAGATATTTAACAATCGCGTCTGATTGTTAGGGCACTCAACTCGCAATTTGCAGGTGGTGGATTAAAATTCTGTCAGGGAACATGTTCGCCCCTTTCAGCCGTGGGGGGCGTTATAAGGTGACGGTAAATCCCACTATTCGTTGGTAACGAGAAGCACAAGAGTTGGCGGTGGGTGGTTTTGACTAGCTGGCTCCCATCCAGTCTATCACTTCAGAATTATGGAAAGCTAGCGCAGATAGTCCTCGAGCAGCTGTGCGCGAAATTCAACAACGAAAAACAGAACAATTATTCCCTATCTAATATATATATATATATATAAAGGGGAAAAAAATTAAAAGTTGAACAGAAAGTAGGGATCGTTGTTTATTATGAGAATTGCTATAAGTATCCAAAACAAAATAAATGCTGTAATAAAAAGTACACAAACAAGTAAAGTGATACTAGATGAATAGATTTTAAACTATTTTCAATCACTACTTTAAACAATAAAACCGAATAAAGACGCAAGTAAATATACATGTTGTTAAAGAAACTTTATTAAAGATACACAACATTTTAACACGTTTATGTCATTATTCTCTAATAAATTCGTGCTGTTATTATTCTTAAAACATAAGAGTGATTTTTAGCCTTTACATTGAATTTTGTAATCCTGCTGTAGCCACTTATTAGAGTAATATTTACATCAATTGAAATTAATTATTGTTTTTCTTGAAATATTTTTTTGGTTTTCGAACACGTATATATATATTGCAAACGCGAAGGTCACCATCAAGAAAATTTCGAATTCTAAAAATCAGCGTGAAGTCTAATCGATCATTCGATTTACCACATGTCACTGAGTTATACCGGTTTCGTGAAATAACACTTCTACCACATGTCACTGAGTTATACCGGTTTCGTGAAATAACACTTCTACCACATGTCACTGAGTTATACTGGTTTCGTAAAATAACACTTCTACCACATGTCACTGAGTTATACCGGTTTCGTGAAATAACACTTATACCACATGTCGCTGAGTTATACCGGTTTTGTGAAATAACACTTCTACCACATGTCACTGAGTTATACCGGTTTCGTGAAATAACACTTATACCACATGTCACTGAGTTATACCGGTTTCGTGAAATAACACTTCTACCACATGTCACTGAGTTATACCGGTTTTGTGAAATAACACTTCTACCACATGTCACTGAGTTATACCGG